TAACAATACATAAATGAATGATTCAACACAAGATGTGACTTGATGGCTTGAGATGGTGAAGATAGCAAGGAAAGGCTTCGAGGTACTAAGCAAGGGTGAAGGGCAAGCGATGGCTTGACGGCCGAAGAACCTAGCTAGGGTGAAGAAAGAAGTACTTGCATTTAGTTGAGGTACTAACCAAGCTATGATGGCCATGTTTATGTGGAGGATCAAATCACTATTGGAGTGTTTGATGGAAGTGACTTGATACATTTGGGATTATTCAAATTTGATGAATGGAATCAAGTCACGTGCTTAAGATGGCTATGCTCAAGTGAAAAGATCAAAGTTGACATGTTAGCACCCTCACTTGATAAAGATTGGAATACACGGCTTCGGTTGAAAAAGATCAACTCAAAAGGTTTAAATTGGTTATACTCTTCATATTTGAGTTAATAGGAATGCCGTACTATTAAGAGGGATGCATCATGTTGATAGATAATGTTTCATAAGTGCTCAAGCCAACCCATGTGAGTTTTGAGTGTTTGAGAGACAAAAGAGCTAATCTATTTTTTTTGCTGGTCTGGGTGTCCGGTATTGATACCAGACGTGTCCGGTATTTGCCCAGCAATGGTAAAATTGTTGTTCTCGGGTTGGTTCATCGGGAGTTCCGACGTGAGTCGGAAGTTCCGATGGTCGGGAGTTCCGACGTTTCGCGCTTAACTGACTCAGAGATTCACTGTCCTGGTCATACCGGACGTGTCTGGTATAGACGGCCAGAAGCCAATGGCTAGATTTCAAAAGCCTTGAGGGTCAGGAGTTCCGATGTGAGTCGGGAGTTCCGACGATCGGAAGTTTCGGCATGTGTCGGGAGTTTTGACACCTCACATTCTTTAACTCAGTTACATGGTTTTCAAATATGCTGAGGGTCGGGAGTTCCGACGTGAGTCGGGAGTTTTGACATTCATCGGGAGTTCCGACGCCTCACATTATCACTGTAACTTAGTTACCGTTGGGGCAGTGTAAGTCTGTCCGGTATGGCAACGGCTATAAAACGGCTAGTTATTCCAAGGGGGCTATAAATACCCCTAAGCCTCCACCTTTGGAGGCTGCTGATTCTGCTGATACATATACACATTTTTGAGCCTTGCCAACTCTCACAAACCCTCTCTTAGTGAGTGTGTGATCCAAATTGCCAAATTAATTAGTGGGTTGAGAGAAATTCAAAAAGAGAGCAATCCAACCACTTGAGCACTTGTGCATATTGTCAATCTCGTGATTTGCATTTGTTACTCTTGGACTCTTCGGTCCTAGACTGTTAGGCATCGCTGGAGAGCACCTGAGAGATTGTGGTGTGCCTCAGAAAGTTTGTAACGGTCGATTCCGTCGCTTCGGAATCATCTAGTGGAAGGAGGAAAAGGAGTTAGAAAAGACTCCGGCTAGAGTGACCTTCGTGGTACCCTCTAGGGCTGACCTTCGCTGGGTCGCCCGCAGCCCCCTCAACGGAGAGTAGGACTCAAACGAGTCCGAACTTCGGTAAAACAAATATCGTGTCTCAATTCATATTTCATTTGATATTTGTGTGGGTCTTGCTCTTGTGTAGGTTCTCTGTGTATATTGTCATCTCAAGTAGGTGTCCGTAGTTTGGTTTGAAGATAGAAATTGAAAGGAGCAAGTTCGGGGCTGATCTGCAGAAATCGTGTATACCGGACACGTCCGGTATTCATACCGAACGCGTCCGGTATTAGAGCTCTGTGCTGAAAACTATTTGATCTCTGTTCTAACTTTGTGTTGCAGGGTTGTAGCTCCTAGATATATTTTTTATACCTTGTTTACTCTGTGGCTAACTTGTGATGGATGGTATTACTCTTAATTTGGAGTTTCTATTTTGGAAACTCCATTTTCTAATTGTTTCCGCATTTAAAGGTGCTAATTTTTATAAACGTCTATTCACCCCCCTCTAGGCGGCATCCTATGTTCTTTCAATTGGTATCAGAGCAAGGTTCTCACCTAAAGCTTCACCGCCGTGAGAAAAGGATGTCGACGCCTATCGAGTTGGAGCCGGTGCTTCTCTAAAATGATGGTTCAAACTTTTTACCTTGGTCAATTCATGTACTCATTGCTTTTAGGGATAATAGTCCTCTTGTTGAGCATATTGTGGATGCAAGCAAACCTCTTCCTTTTCTAATTGTTTCCGCATTTAAAGGTGTTAATTTTCAGAAACGCCTATTCACCCCCCTCTAGACGGCATCGTAGGTCCTTTCAGATCTCGGTGGAAATGGGCAGCATGTGGATGACCAAAGGCAGTTGCTCATTTGTCGGGGTGGCGACTTGTGGTGGACTATGGTGGCTAGCCATGCGTGGCATGGGCTAGTTCGGCATGGGACAACGTCAAGCGATGGCGCAAGCAGTTCCAATGGTATGGCATGGTAGTGGCTGGCTCGATATGGGACATCGTCAGGAAAGATGGCGCAAGCGGTGACGATGGCTTTTCGACTTGCTGCTTTGATCGCCGAGCAACTGCGGCGCAATGTGGCGACCGACTGGCGTTGGATTGGCATTTGCTGGTGGCATGCTTCAGTGGTAAGACGGTGTTGTGCAGCACGCGTTGAGGCCTTTTTCCAACTGGCTGATGTGTTGTCGATAGTTAGTTGCTTTCAGTTGTTGTGGTAGTTTCTTAGCTCTTGCTTTGTTGTGGTTTGTTGACCCTTCGATGTGGTTGTTGATACGGTGTACTGCTCAATCTGAGTTTTTTCTTGTTTTTAATATAATCGGTAGCTCTGCCTGATTTGTTAAAAAAAGAGCCCAGCGTCCTGCTTTTTTTGCTTTAGGGTACCTTTCAATTCCAAAAGCTTTACAAAAATCATTGCAGAAAGACAAAATTACATGTTATTATAATGGATCAAATTTCTAGCTTGGAATCCTGCTCCGCGGAGAAGGCATCACAATTGCGCACGTTATGATCAAATTTCTAGCTTGGAAAAACTTGAAAAAAATCTAGCTTGGAATCCTCCTCCGCAGAGAAGGCATCACAATTGTGCCCCGTTCGCTTGGGTGAAATTGGCTGAAAAAACAAGACAAAACAGAAATGTTGTGAGAGAAAAACACTGTTCCGGCTGAAAAAAGAAGACGAATAAGCCGGCTTTTAAGGTAAGCCGAACGGGGCAGAAAGACAGTCAAAAGTAGGATAAAAAAACAAAAACAAGATTCAGAGATCCTACAATGCAATTTATAGTTCTAGCTAATGGAAAATATTTAAGAATGCTAGATGGATCAGATTTCTGGCTTGAATCCTCCTCCGCAGAGGACGGATTACATGTGCGCATACTGATATAATCATGGTCGATCATCCGGGAAAGGATCCTCACTTCCATCAAGATTCAAAATCTAAATCCAAAAATAAAGTTATTTGAACCTTTACCAAATCGCACCAAGAAACAAACGTTGTTTTGATCAGAACATCGGCTTAAGAGCCTTCTCCAAAGAGAAGAACTCGAGAAAATCACACAGTATAATCATAGTCGATAATTTGGGGAAAGGATTATCACCTCAAAACAACATCTCGATCCGAAAAACAATCGCAAAAAATAAATGAACACAACGAAATAGAAACGAAATCGATACATCGAGGAAAGTACATTCTCCATGACCATAACGTCAACAATGTGCGGACAGATAGGAGGGAGGGAAGCGATCTTGGCGTCGCTTAGACTGTCTCCAATAGATAACCCATATGGGCATCCAAACCTAAAATAGGCAGCAGGAGACCTAAAATCAGCCTCCAACAGAGTACCTATACGGGAGACTCATTTTTGGTTACCTGAGAGGCATAACCCAAATATGAGTATCCTCTCTCCTGGAAACCCATTTGTAGAAATGATTCTCTTTTAGGTTCTGTTGTTGGAGAAGACGTCGAATGGGTATTGAACCTTTTGGTTGTAGCGCTACCCAAACGTTAAATGGGTCTTGTATTTTGGGTGTTGTTGTTGGAGATAGTCTTATACTGAGGCTTAGGCGTGCACGCGGACAAAACCCTAGCTCATGACAGGCGGAGATGGGCCGGACGGATGGGCTGCCACCTTGACGCGTCTGCGTGAAAGCTGCGGCCCGGCGAATAGGGAGGCCCTATGGAGAAGTGAAGGCGGCGGCGTCACCTTGAGCCGTCTCTATGCCCACAGCCCAATCTGGCCTTGCAAGATTTCAGCCCAATGGCGGGGTTTTTTTTTTTTTGACAACATGGCGGCGGTTGAGGGTTCCGACGACGAAGTCGCAGAGAAGAGCCGAGACCAGGTCACGTCCGTGCATGGCCGAGGATCGTGTCGCTGTCGTAGGGGGGGGATTGCGTTGCATGGTATCGTGGCGTGGTCTAAGCGAAGCGATTTGGGGCAATGCCATGTTCAATTTGAAACAAAGGATACTTACTGCAACTCTAATCACGAGAGGAACGAATTGCTGTGCCGTGTGGACGTGGTACGTTCAATTTTCATCACTTCAAACACAATCCAATCCACATCGAAAATGAGAAGATATATACCATGCAAAACTTTATTTTATTGAATTCATTCAAAGAACAATCTGCAACGAGAAGTCACCGAAGTGTCCTACAGAGAACTGAAAATTCTAAGAACAACAACTACCACTACGGTGATGATGTTCTATCCCTATATAAGATGGGCCTGCAATAATGCAAATTTGCAGCCAAAATAAAACTAATCAATGGGGGTAATGCGCCGTCATAAACATGAACACCGGCCTTCGTTAACATAATAACAAGACCATTAAATGCACCAATGCAAAATTAAACATGATGCCAGCACGTACTCAATCTACTACTTACGGATCAGCTATAGACAGACGTCGTCGTCATCGTCAGGTCAGGTCAGGGGTCAGGAACACACACAACAGCAGCAGCAGCGCTGGCACGGCCGGCGTTGTCAAAAAGGGACAGCCGGCCATCGATCGCGCGCGCGGATGCAGGCGGCGGCCTTGCCGAGACCGGTCGACTCGACGCCGCCGTCGACTCACTGGCCCTGCCGCAGCGACGCCACGAACCGGCCGAGGTCCCTGCGGACCACCGGGTTGGCCTTGACGTCATCGTCCTTGGCCACGGCGTCCACCAGACTCGTCGGCACCAGGCACTTGCCCTCGGCAGCCAGCCGCTCCTGCACGCTGCCGCACGCCAGCAGCGCGTGCATTCGCTCCTGCGCCATGGCCGACGGCATCTTCTCCTCCTGCATCTGCACGCATGCATGCACGCACAGGGATTCAGTTACACGAAACTGCGAGGCAGTGATGAGGTGACTTGAACACATTGGGACATGGATCGACATTGAGAAATGCAATGCAATGCGTGCGCGGCGGTTGCCAGCCAGTTTTTACGCACCTCGCTTGAGCCGGCGGCGCGCATGAGGGCGAGCACGCCGACCTGCGCCTGCAGGAGCTTCACGTGGCGAGCGGCCTCCTCCAGCATCTCGGCGGTGTTAAGCTTGTGCGCCCCGGGGATGAGCCGCGCCAGCTCGGCCGTCTTCTCGCTGATCCGCTTCCGGCGCTGCCTCGCCGCCGACTTCTGCACGGACTGGCATGCGCCACCGCCGCCGCCGCCGGCCTTGTTGGCGTCCGCGCCGCGCACGAACACGAGGGGCTCCGGAACCTGCGTCGGGACCGGGACCGGGACCGCGGGCTGGGGCGGCAGTTGCTGTTGCAGGACGTACTTGTCGCTCATCAGGGCCCCCGTCATCGCCGTCACCTGCTGGCTACCAGTGCCAATGCGCTGCCTCTTGCCGCAACGCCACTCGGCACCGGTGGCTCCGTCGAGCGGGGCGAGGAAGGTGCCGGCGGCGTCGATGGGCGGCGGGAGGCTGAGGAGGTCGTCGAGCACGGCGTTGGAGGCGTCGAGCGGGTCGTACGCGAAGCCGAGCAGCGTGTCGGTGACCTCGGAGTGGACGTCGTCGTCGTCCTGGAGGAAGCTCATGTCCGCGACCCCGGCGTCCGGGGCGGGGAGGCGGTGGCCGAACAGCGGGGCGGTTGTCGGGTGGAAGCTGAGCGTCATGGGTCGTGGCGGGCGGGGGTGGTTGCTTTGCTCTCTCTGCCTGCCTGCCTGCTTGTGTCTCGCAATGGCTCGAAGCTCAACCGCCCTGGCAATGCAAGACCGAGAGTCAAGGCCTCAAGGGGAGGAGGAAGAGGAGGCGGCGGCGGCGGCGGGCTGGAGTGGAGTGTAATAAAAGGCGCACATAATCCCCCTTGTCTTGGATTCTCGGGGGCGGTTAAGCCTCTTCCCCTTTCGTAGCTCCCACGGACCCCACCTCGTCCTCAACTCGTGTACCCGGCACCACGTGTCGCCTCCTCCTCCCTTCTCTCATCTGGACGCCGCGCGTGCGTGCGTGCTCGGCCCTGTTCGTTTCTCTTATAATTCGTACTTTTCGGTTTATTTTTTTAGCCAGAACAATATTTTCTCTCACAACAAATTAGCTGGAACAGTATTTCGACTTTTTCAGCGAAGCGAATGGAGCCGGTGTTCATTGCTTCCTTGCTAAACAACCTTTACTTGTTGCAAGTTCAAAAAAAAAACTTTACTTGTTGCCATGGGCCCATGGCAGTACCAACCTCGGTACACTACACCACGCTCCACGCTACACTGTCCAGACCTCGATGTGCCAATGGGACGTGTCACGTGTCGGTGTCCGTAAAAAGCCTCGATGTGCTACTACCCGAGCTGAGCGTGTTTTGCTCCCGTTGTATTGGAAGTTGAGGTTGGTTCGACTTGGACCGGATGTCCGAACGAGCCCGATCGATCCCTCGTAGCTGGGCTCCAGTGGAAATGTGGAAGCAATGCGTGTGAAGTGCCCGTGAAACAAATGAAGGCCACACAGTTTTCGGCCTTTTGGATAGCCCGGCCCCTTTTGTTGGATACAATACAAGCAGCCCAGCAACACAGCCCGTCCGCTCTCCTTTCTCGGCTTTCCTGTTCGGAGGAATTAGGAAACGAGGAAACGGCCGGCCCACTGCCGGTACCTGCTGCTGCCTCTGCCTGCGCTCGTCGTCGTTCCACAAACAAAAGAGCCCAGAGCAGGAGAGGGGACCGAAAAATATCTGCCCGCGTCGCGTTCCTCGTGTCACGGCGACCTCTCCTCAGTTGGCGGGGCCAGGCCACAGCCCACAGCCCACAGACCCGACGGCGACGTGAGATGCGAGACTGCGACTGCGAGAGGCCATGCGCGCGGGCGGACCAGCGGGGAACGATGCATGGAAACAAGGGGCGGAGACCGGACCAGAGACTGCCGCCGGTCCAGCGACTGCTACTACAGCGGGCCGGGGCAAGTTGCTGACTGCTGACCGGTGCTTCAGTTTTGCTTCTAGATCGACGCTGACACGCTGTCAAGTACTGTGGCTGGCTGGCTAGAGAAACCGATGCGTAGTGCTCCAGTCCAGCCTGCTGTCCGTGTCCCCAGTGCTGCTGAACAAAAACAACACAGATGTACTCCGTATCCGTCTGAACGTCACGGAACACCCTGCTCTGGTCACCGTCTGAACACCATGGACCACTCCGCCGTGACCGTGCGTTTACACAGGCCGAGCGTCCACAGTTACGCATGCATGGGGCCCGCCACCATCCACGGACCACGGCCAGTATGAATGTGCAGGGCCCTATGCATGGTCGAACAACGAGCGCTGATCTTTGGACATTTGCTCTTACTACCACTAATAATGAATAATATCCGGGACGTACGATGACTAACCCGACGCGAACCAACGAGCTGCCCTTTGGCAGTAGCTGCTGGCCATGATTCCTCCGGCTGCCAGCGGAATCTCACGCCCCTGCGTCGCAACAAAGCCCGCGCAGCAGCAGCAGCAGCAGCCGCGCGTCGTCCTGGATGGGAAATGGACTCGCGTTCGCGTACCTGCCTTCGTGGCTGCCCCTGTCCGCCCGCGCGGCTCACTCCACCGGATTTGATCGAGGACCGCGCCGTGTGCCGTGTGCCGTGTCCTTGGATCGTCTCCGTCGCTCTGGTATAGCCGTATACGTCTCCGTCGACCGGTGGTACTTGAGCTCGTCACCGGTTGGCGAGCAGACGGTAACTGGCGCTGTCATGGTGTCGTCTCTGTGCTGTGCATACGAGAGCTTAGTAACTAGTTTATATTACATTACACGGGGTTTGGCATCGTCAGCTCACGCAGGTTCTTGACTTCTTGTGCGTGAAGCTGTGAACCATATGTTTTTTTTTTGGATAATGATGAAACCATATGGTTAGGCAGCGGATAGCAGCGCAGCGGATAGACTGTCGTAAACAAGGACGCGCCGGATACTCCTTAGTACGGAGTAGTTATATAGCAGTTGCTAATGAACAGGAGTACTAGATTAATTAATCGATAGATTAATTGGCGCAGACGTATTGAGCGCACATGACACACGAGACATCGCGTCAGGTTTAGTATTAATAACTTAAGCATATCCCGGGCAGCGTGTGAACGGACGATCCGCATGCATGTGCTCGATCGCTCATTTGTGTAGCTAGACACTGACGACGCGCAGGCGCATCTCTCTACCCCGGCGTCTTGGCGACCCTAGCTCATCATCGAGGGAATAAGCTAGGCAAGTTATCGTCGCCGGCCGGCAGGGCGCGGGGATTTGCAAGCGGAGTCGTCGGCAATGGCATGTTCCCCTCCCCGACCGACGGAACAGGCCGGCGGTGTGCGAGCGAGGGCCCGCGTGAGATGCGAGCTGTCAATGCCAATCGTCACGTACGCATCCACCCTCCTGCCCGCTGACCAGGCGCTGCTGTGCTGCAAAGGTTTACAGTTTACACTGTTGTGACGAATGCAGATTCGCGCGGCCATGCCGGGCCTGCCATCCAAATATCATTTGGCTGTTGCTTAGCGTAAACTATCATAAATTTTTAGTTGAAACAATATTTTTCTTTCACACAAACTAACCAGCAGTACTTCTTAATGAACCGGCGACAAAATATCGACATGCTCATTGAAGCCGTACACTTCCAAGCTGGCCCGCCACCTTGTTGTCCCTTTGAAGAGCACTATTGGTGAGGCTCGTAGCCGTACAATGATAGTAATTCGATTACTTTACACGGGAGCTAAGAACCATCTTTTTTGTTTGCAGATTGCATTAATAATGTTATTATTACGACATAACGTTGCAACGGAATCACAAAGGAAGGGCCAATTTTTTCCCAGTTGATAAATATAATCATATAACTTGATAACTAGCTCTATGATCGTTGGTCAGTCCTTCCTCATACCACAAATGTGAATCCATTCAAATGATCATGTGTTCTCTAGATTCCAAATAAATTTTAATTAAAATATATATGTACAAAAGCTATGGTATTTTCTTAGAAAGGTAGTAAAAATCTCATCTTGTCGGTCATCATGGTTGTAGATATTGGTAATCAAATTATAATATTTTTGACAAGAATCATCCAATAGTAAACTTATATAAAATACTTTATTTTGCAATGGATAAAAGCTAGTAGGACCATGCACAGCTATGGATATCAAATCAACTTTATTTTTCTATCAACAAAGGAGAAGCGGCATCCCCCATAAATAATGAGTCATCGCTGATATCACTTTTAACTACTAATGAACGAGTCATCGCCGAGTCACTAATCAGATCATCACTTTGAATTTCATGTGAAGTTCACCGTGAATATTCACAAATAAACTTCCCGTGTTTCGGAGGGCACACAAAGAAAGCAGTTCAACAGCTGTTCAAATAAAGAAGACCTCGCCTACTTACTAAAATCAAGTCGAATTAATTATGAATGTATACAGCAGTATGAGGTAGCACTCAAGCAATAATGAAATGCTTGGGAAATTGCAAGATGTTTACAAATGAAATACCATAGTCGAAATTTATTGAGACATTTCAATTCAAATTACACACCGGTTGTTAAGTCACACAACTTCTAAACAAAGCACAAGCGTCACACTAGAAAGTCAACGAGCTTACAAATGAAGCACAAGCACCATGATGGTCCTATAATATTTTTATAAAATTATACTCTATTTTTAGATATTGGCGATTAAAATCTAAAGTTTTGATAAACAAGAATCCTAATAGGTAATCTTATATCACAAGCTAACATAACAATAATCCACAAACGAGAGTGGAGCGGTAGAGGGAGGGGGGGCTCAAGCCCCCTACCAGCCGCAAGTAGGGGGGCAAGGATCATAGCCAAGAGGCGTCTCCCGAGTCACGATGAAATATATATAAAATACCTCATCTAGAAATTGCCCCCACCAACCCGTGTGTCTCCTCCTGTGTCGCCGACCTGTGCGTCTCTAGTGTCGCCCTAGGCCCGCCCTAGCCGGGTGACGGCTCCGAGCACCTGGAGGCCGACGGCGGCCGCCTCATCTAGACAGGAGGCTGCGTCTTCTTCTCTGCGGCACCAACGGACGAATATTGCGCCCCACTTTATCACAATGATGACGAAGACGAGCCCACCGACAATAATTACTATCCCAATTACAGCCTCCTCCATTTTAATAGATAATTGTAAATTTAGGCACGGTTAATTATTGTACAAATAATACGTGACTAGATTAACATTTTCCGTTCAAATGATGTTAGGGATAGGAAGTCAGCATCAGCATAGACCTATGAACCAGCAAGTAATATGGATTTTGGAAGGGGGGCTTAAGCCCCCATGGTTGAGACATGGCACTATGAGAGAGAAGAGGTTGAACATGTTGAAGGCACTTTCTGCCTAGTCTTGCGTATGCTCCTGTTCAAAGTAAATCGCAAATCATAAGTGATCACCAAAAGCCAAAAACACGAGTGGACGAGACATCAGGAAGTCATCAATAATTACTCTGAATTTTAAGTGAAGCTCGTGGCAAAACCCTCTAAAGTTCTTGTGTTTGAAAGGGCACGCAAGAAAGCAGTCCAGTAACTGTTCAAATAATGAAGACATGAACTACTCTATCCATTCCAAATTATAAGTCATTCTAAATTTTTTAAAGAGTCAAAGCACCTTAAGTTTGACCAAAATTATAGAAAGAATTATAAAGATTTATGACATCAAATAGGTA